TATCTTGACCTCTATTGTCTTCAGCCTTCTCATACACAAAGCGGGGGAAATTGGGAAATTTCCATTAATGTTATGTAATGGGAAAGAAAGAACATGGAGAGCTAAACGGTTAGCTAAAGGTTAAAGGTTAAAATCTTGTTCTGATCATTTTCTAGCTGTATAACTTGGGAAACATACTTGAACTTTCGTAGCTCCATTTTCCTAATTTGTAAAATGTAACTAATAATATGTATCTCACAGGATAGATGTGAAAGTTAAATCAGATAAAAGATGTGGAAATGATTAAACAGAGCACTTTATAAACTAGAAATGATTGCACCTATGTTGGTCACCATCATCACTTTTCTTCATTAAAAAAAATCATAATGCCAATGTGTGCATGGGCCTAAATTAGGTACCCTGATGGATCAGGAAAGAGTCCCATTAAAAAACATTATGTTTTAATTAACATATATTGTAATTCATTAGAGCACCATCTCTAATGCTCAAGAACACTGGTTTTACATTAACTAATACAGTTCAAACATTCAAAGCACTTATCTCCAAAGAATACTGTCTAGTAATCTTGACATGGTCACCTAAGAATAATTAAATGAATGAACAGTGGCAGCAGCAGCAGCAAGAGGCTTCCTAATGTTACCATGTGGCTGGCTTTTGGTGTGTAAATTTACTCTGGGCTTTTCTTATCTGTTTCATTGATACCTAGAGAAAGACCTACTTCATATAGAAACCACTTCAAAATTATCTCAGAAAGATGAGAATGGTCTATATTTTTTTCAAATGTAGGAAGAAGTAAACTTTGTGTCTTCATTGGTCCTGCATATCAATGCTAAGCAATCCAACATTTTGGGGAGAATCTGCTTTGTAAAACTTTAAGAAATTCCTATAAAAGAATAAAAAGAAATTATATATCAAATAATAAGGGATAAAGGAAGAAAAGCTATGTATTCGGTGTTTAGAATAACTTTGCTATATGCAGAAACTTAGGAACAATTTTTATAAAGTTTGTATATTTTTGTTATTTGAACTTCTCTGGTAAGCTACCACAAGGTCTTTCTAAAATTAATATTTGATAAGTAGAATTAAAAGAAAACATTTTCCACAATTTCACTGGACGGCAAAAGAGAAAGAAAGCAAAACAAAGACATATGATAAAATTACAGACTGTAGTCAAATACTTCCAATGGTCTGATGAGTTGTTCCAAGGTATATTTTATTTATTCCTACTGAATGTTATTGAGCTTTTAAAACCAGAATGGTGTGCTAAATTATGTTTCTTTATATGTCCACCATCACAACTCAATAAAAATTAATAATGAGTTACCATTTATCATTGACTTTTGGCCATGTACTTTGTTAACATCTTTATACACATTATGTCCATAAATCCCCCAAGTGGCCTTTGAAGTAGATACCATTTATAATAAGTAAGTCAGACAGAGCAAGGCAAATACTGTGTTATTTCACTTATATGTGGAGTCTAAAAAACAAAAAGAATAAACAAAACAAAAACAGACGCATCAATACAGAGAACAGGCTGATAGTTGCCCCAAAAAGAGGAGGAGAGGTGGGAAAACGGTTAAAAAAAAATAGGCACCATTCATGTTCACACTATCTAATATGGAAAATCAAGTGGTTATGCCCAAGGTCATACATCTAATAAATGGAAAATTCCAGGTCCCTGGAATGCAAGTGACCTGTCAACATGTGTGGGTGCTACTATGCATGTAGAAAATGCTTATCAGATATTAGTTGATTATGGTTTGGATGAAATACAATATAAGTATACTTATTTATAAAAAGTCGACTGCCACATGACTATATTCTGTAGACTTGAGTTAAAAACTTGCCAAAGTTGAAGCTATATTGATTGTATATTTGATTAAATAGTTTCAGATAGCCAAACTAAATCTAGAATAGAAAAATTACACCTACATCTATCTGTAATAAGTAATCTATTTTCTGACATCATTTTACTTTTGAACAGCTAAGTTACATAGGCGACTGGAATTGAGACAAAGTTACTAAAGAGAAACTCTCCAATGTTTAATATCCAATGATTAAAAGATGAAATAGCCCTAACCTTGAATTCTCTCACAAGTTTAGGTTATGCCCTGAACATTACATTTATACTGTCATTTTCTTTCATTTTGGTTTAAAGAAAGAAACTTCTATGTGCAATGCCTGTTGAGCTGCTGTGGTCAAATATTTATTAAAAAGAACATATTGATTTGCAGATTATAACTGGCCACATATGAGCCTTTCTTTCCAGTGACATTCTTACTTAAGGTATTGATTAAAGGCTTTTCATGCAGAAAGCATTTTTCTTGTCAGTTCAGTTATGCTGGCTTTTGTAATAAGCTAATTTGATTTCCTTTTTTAACCTTTGTTTGATTAGGGGAACAGACATTTGCATTAAAATTCAAGAGAGATGAAGTCTATCATCGATCTTGACTTCCTCATGGACCTCTTGTACTCAGCGAAAGATGATTTAGAGAATGTCAAGAGTCTTGGAACAACCATAATGAGAGAGGAAAAAAAATCACTTCAGACTTACAAACCAGTAAGGGCTTATTTGACAGAAAGGGCAATTGCATTTGGTGGATATGTTTTAGAGAAATCAAATTCAGGTAGCTTAATTTTGTTCTTAGGCCAAGTCATTAAGAGATCCAGGAGACGAACTGCCATTAATAAAGTACATGCTACTTAAAACCAAAACATTTCAAAACATCTGAAGAGATTAAACAAAACACGTACACTGTTACTTGCCACGAAGGAAGGATAAAAGTAAATTCTAATATTTCTTTATAAACATGTTCCTGGTAAAACACTAACCTCAAGGCAAGTTTGTGATTTAACCCTCTACTGCTGTCTTTCTGAATCGCGGGGATGAAACCCACATCAACCCAAGTCTTCCACTAGTGTACCCTAGAATTAATCTTCATTTACAACCATAATGAAAGAGAAAAAAACCACAGTGTTTCTTTTCTTCTGTCAATAATATTATAAAATTATATGTATATTTTAAGGACTGCTAATAACATAAGATTTTTCATATGTGAAACACTTTTAAATTAATAAAATAATGCCACTAAAAATACTTTCAAATTTTATGAAGTTAGATTATTTTACAGCAAAGACAGCCCTATTTTATTTTGTGTCTACCAAATAATTGAGATGAAAAATATTCCATTTATGATAACAAGTTTCCATACTTTTAGTGGCATGGAGGTAAAATATTTATAAAACATGGTAGAAGAATATAAGAGATGTGTTTTCAGATGTCCCGTCTGGGCAAATCATTAACTGTTCTTTTATGCTGTGATTCCAAAAGTATCTCTATTATATTTTGTATTGTGTTAAAAATCAATATAATGTAATATAAAATTCATTGGGGAGATAATATATTTATGTATTCCTACAGCATTTTTAGTTTAGACATCTATTTGGAATTTAATATAAAAAGTAATGCTGGTAAGCTTCTACCTGCATTGTTCCTCCAGTCTCATGGATAGTCAATAGTCCTGGCACCTGGGAAACCCATCAGGCTCATCCCACTAGAGATTTAAAGGGCAGAGACATCTTTTTGTTATTGTTGTTGTTCTTCAGTCGCCTTTAAAATCCACTGAACAGAATTCCTTATCTCATTACAAAGATTTTACTGGAGTATTTTATGTGTAATTTATCAGAATAGCTGCCAAGATGTTCAAATTTGTTTTTAAAAGGCAGGAGCTCAGTGGCAGACAAGCTTGAGGCTTAAAAAGCCTGATTTCCCATGCTTTTCATTTTCCCTGTGGTCTCCGAAGCCTGGTTTATTAGTAACCACCATGTTACTCTTCCTGTCTCAACTGGCTCCTCATTACTCAAAGCCAATATTAATTGCTAAATATGACTAATATCACATGGAAGGTCACAAAGTTCAATGCTAACCTTCATTCCAGCTCACAATGTTTTCAAGGTTAATAAATTGATTTTGAGCTGAGATATGATGCATTTATAAAATGGAAGAAAATGAAAAATTTGGCATTACCAATATGTGGATAGTTTTAAATGATTCATTTGTTACATTTGGACGGTAGCCATGAAATTCGTTTGATATATATCACATAGTTAGATTCTAACCTAGACACTGGAAAATAAATTAATGATACATTTAAACATTAGACAATTTTGCATACACACACACACACACACACACACACACACACACACACACACACACACTCTCTCTCTCTCTCTCTCCAGGATAAGAATTAGGGCATTATAACTTACTGACTCTTCCAGCTGAGATATCACAGATATAAAATAGAGCCGAACTGCTTTCAAAGATTAAGACTACACTAAATAAAATATACAGTTTAGTTCAAACTATACTTCTAAGAGGCTGGTTGCTGGTTGCTGGTTGCTGGTTGCTTCCCTTGGTTTCCCTGCTTGGAGGGAGGACAAATGAAATTCCTAAACTTGTCTCAATTCTGTGCTCCCTGGTTCCAGTCCACAGGAGTCTCCTTGGGGAGACTTCCACACCCTTGACTGGACTGGACAAGGACTCTAGGATCCCTGAGGTATCTTTACCACCAGCCTTTCTGATCCTGCCCAAGGCCTATTTCTAATCCCGCCATCAGCTTCTGAACTTGGCTTTCAATTCCTGTTTGGTGTGCTTGGGGATCCCCTGCTTCTGGTGTTGACCTAGACCTAGGGCCAGTTTTGTCAGAACCTGGCCCACCAAACTAAAGACAACATTTTCTGGGAGAGTCTTCCAAGTCTCATGAGGCTTTCTGTTCCTCATTTAGAACAAGTCACCAAGGCCTGTAGTTTCCTCCTTTGTAGTGTTATGCAATTCCCTATTCCTCTTTATGCCCTAAGATTACTAATTGCACCCTCTAGCTAAGAATGCCTGTATGTTCACGCTCTCCCTGGCTCCCTTCCTGATTAATTAGCCCAACCACAATGAATATTATGATAGTCGTCTCCCAGAAACATTGCCAGTGGCTTCCCCTTACCTGCAGAACTGCACACCAGTCCTTGGCTTTGGCTCTTCACGGTTCCTACTGTGGTATCACATTCTTATTCCAGCTGGCCTAAGCGAACACATAGGTCTGCCCTTGACTCAACTCCCCCCTCACTAACTGTGGGAACTTGGGCCAGTCGCTCAATCTAGCTAAGCCTCTATTTTTCACCTCTGCACAACACTGAAAAGAAAATCTTCCCTACAAGCTTTTGTGAGGATTTGCCACATATTGCAGAAAGTTCCTAACATGCTGCATGGCATATGGAGAGGGCTCAGTGTGCTGCAAGAAGGCTTTGTTACTGGCTTACAGCTCACAACACTTCTAGAAGACTCTCTACTCAAGTCCCACTTACTCTTTAAGGCCGTGTCAGATTCCACTGTGATTGGGCCAAATCTAATAACGTAGTAAGTAGTGTTCACTCCCATTCTTGATCATTTCTTAGTTTTTCAGCTGTGATAGCCTTGACTTCCCAACTAGATTATAAACTCCAGGAGGGCAAACTAAAATCTTACTCTCTGTCACTAATATTTGGCTGCTTCTTGGCCTCGCCTGCTCCCAGCATTCGGTGGCTCCTTGCTGCACATATTTCTGGGGGCCTTCAGGATGTGTCTACAGGATTCATTCATATTTCCCTTCTGTGGTATCCATCCTCTGCTGAGCACGGGAATGCCTGTCAAAGACAGCCTCATCCATGGGTTCCCACGCTGCCTGCACAGAGCGTTTCCACAGGCTTTGCTCCCTCTGCTGTCGGTGCTGTCATCCCCATCACATCTGTGAACACGCTTCCTGCCTTCCCTGAGGGTGGTCATGTCCACCGATCATCACCTCACTGTACTGGGGCCCCTGGGGCCTGTTCCTTGTGCCCACAGTGTCTTATGAGAGTTACTAGGAAAGTGGTCCTTATTTAGGGAAGCATTTTTCCTGGGATATGAGTTTATTGGAAAGCTGCCAGGGAAATGCAGAGTGATGGATTCAAAACCCCCTCATCCAACTGGTAAGTAAGGCTTCATTATTGGGTTAAATCTGTAGATCCAGTTGCCTCTTTCATTAGGCTGGGGTTGCTTCCAGGAGCCCTCAGTACCTCAAGCAAGTAGGCTTCTAATGAGCGCCCCACCAGTTCACCAGCCAGCTCTCTTTTCCAGCTCTAGCATTAGCTGAACAGTAAGCTAGACTCTGCTTCACATTCTTTTTTTTTTTTTTAAAGATTTTGTCGGGGAATTGGGGAAGGGGAATAGTCTTGGGGAATTGGGGAAGGGGAACAGACAAGATGTTGTCCTTCAATCTTAGTTGCGGAGGGCGCAGCTAGCTCAGCTCCAAGTCCAGTAACCATCCAGCCGCCTGTCAACAGCTCGCCGCCGCTCAGCTCAAGGTGCCGTGTTCAATCTTAGCTGCAGGTGAGCATAGCCACCATCCCATGCAGGGGTCGAACTGACAACCTTGTTGTTAGGAGCATGTGCTCTCACCAGTTGAGCCATCCTGCCACCTGTTGTCAGCTCAGTGGCAGCTCAGCACTGGCGCAGCTCACTGGCCCATGTGGGAATCGAACCGGTGGCCCTGTTGCTCAGAGCTCATGCTCTTAACCAAGTGAGCCACTCGGCCTGCCCTGCTTCACATTCTTTAATAGTGCTCTGCTGGGCACACATGTGAAACTCAGCTAAAGATCAGTAAACAATTATCCTGGTCCAAAAGTAACTTGAGGCATTAGGCTGAATCTATACCATGGAATTTCATTTTTTTAATCCCTGCTTTGAAACTGTTTTTTATTTGTTTGTTTTTATAAAAGTAAGACTAAAGGAAAATAATGTCTGCTGTTCGAAATATGCAAGTAGGAGAATTTATAACATATCTAAATTCAAATAGCCAGGCTGAAGAAGGGTAAGCTTTGCAAAAGCATATGTTCAAAGAAAAACTGATGTTGCCCTATGCACTCCAACCTGAGAACGAGGAGGCAGCGTTAAAGCATCTTGTTTCGGGTACTTCTGAAACGACAAAAAATCCACTGGCTTGAGAATTCGAAACTGCTCCCTCACCATTTTGGTATCATTATTTTCTGCTCCTGATCCAGGTTAGCTTCATCTCCAGTTTGGTACACTTCTCACTCTTTGGGTAACGACCCCTAACAATCCTGGAGAAGACAATGGCCATCCTTATAGGCATTGGTGCTAGGGGCCTATTGTGCCTCAGTGGCCTGGTCACAGGAGTCCTTTCCAGATCCTGAAGGAGAAGCGAGAAGGGGTAGTTTGAAGAAAATACAAATTAAGGAGAGAAAGAAAAGTATTATGTTTCTCTGTAGCTGACCCTCTTGTTTTTAGTCTCCTAATCACAATGGAGTTCCTTGGTTTGAAGGCTTTCAAATCTGAATATAATACCCCACACAAAAACAGACCCCAGACAGATGCCTACACACACACACATTCCCACAGACTGTCAGAATTGAAAATATTAAGGCAAACCAACAAGAGATCCATTTCACAGTTGTTGCCATTTTCTAGCGACGTAAGTTGGGGACAGTAACTCTATGGAATTGATTTTCCAGATAATATGATGTTACAGACTAGAATATGACATGCACAGAACATTATTAGAACCAGAAATGACCTTGGAGGTCATCTAATTCAATTTCCTCAATTTGCAAAATAAGAAACTAGGGTCTCAAGAAATGAATTAATTTGTTTGAAGTCAGGAAGATGTTCAATGTTAAAGCCGGAATTAGGACCCAGGTCTTTCTAACGTCTATGTTTCTGTCAACCCTGAACAGCTGTCCTCATTTGCCCAGTTTTGGAGCTTAAAACTGAAGTTGCCTTCTTAACCTTGATGTTTGTACAAGGGGTTTGCAAATAGCTAGCCTGATCAAGTATAAACATATTTTGTGGCTTCCATGCTGAATATGTTATGCAATAGCTGAAAGATTTGAAAGAAATTTACTTGAAACTTTCCTTACTTCTAGTATTCAGTCCTTTTATTTTAGATTTCTCTCTTTCTATACATCCCCCTGCCTTGCCCCCAGTTTTGCTGAGGAATCATTTCTGAAGCTTGAAGTTTTGGTAACTTGAAGCTGTTATTATAAATCACATGAAAAACAGTAGGATTACCCCATTGCTTACTAGCCCTGTTAAATTACATGTTTTTTTGTTTTTTTGCTGTTTAATTTTGTAAGATCACCCCTCTATCACTCACTTTGGGCAGAAACTTATGAAGACAATAGACAATCTTGGCAGAAGTAGAAGAGAAACTGTTGCCAAGGGGTGGGGAAAAGTGGATGTAGCGGCCAAATTACAGTGTTGCCTATTTAGTCAAGAGACCGCAAACATGTCTGTGAATCAATGTATGAAAAGGATATTTAAAAAAGACCACGAATAGCCACGGCAATCTTGAGAAATAAGAACAAAGTTGGGGGGATCACGCTTCCAGACATTAGAACATACTACAAGGCCACAGTAATCA